GGACCGTGGCAGCCTGCGGCAACGCACGGGAGCAGAAGGTCCACAGTGTGCTGCAGTGGGTGCCCGGGGTCAGCACGTACTACAACGTGGGCACCAGCATGTACTACGCCTTCCGGAACTGCACCGAGCTGGCCCAGGACCGGGGCCTCGAGGCCGCCATGGATCTGGGCTACGACGCCCTCTTGGGGCTGACGGGCGGGATGGGGAGCCCCATGGCCGTGGGGGTGGCCTTGGGGCTGAGGCCAGCATTCAAAGTGGGCGTGCGGTCTCTGATCAGCTACTTCCGGCAGGTGGCGCCGGCTGAACCCCTGCCCACGAGCTTCTCTGGCCCCTTCAGGGTAGCCACCTCCTTCCCACTGGGAACGCGGCGAGTGTGAATAAACCTGAGCACCCCCCGTGCTTTGATCCCAGTGCCGGTGTCTGTGATGGGGGCAGCTGGCGGGGGGGAGCATGGAGGGGAGCTGCCTTATAGCCAGCCCAGCTTCAGGCCTAGCCAATTGCACCCTCCTACATGCAGCGAGTATGCTGGGTCTCAACCCAGTCCTGCTGGCCTGCTGTCTCAGCCACAGCAGGCATTGGGGCTGGAGTCTGGCCTCAGGGGAGGTGGGAAGGCCCTACCCCCACCATGTGCCTGCCAGCTCAGCATGGGCGCCTGTGCATGAAATTGACAAAGGGCTTATGACCTCTCGCCAGGGTTAGCCTGACCCAGACAGCCAGCTGCCAAGTGTCTATAAAGATCAGCAGGGCTCAAAGGTGCCGGCTGAGCAAATTTCCCCCAGTCATGTGGCCTGCCCGGCCCAGCCTCGTCCTGCCTAACGCAGTTTGTTACCAACCGGGAAAGCGTGGGCTAGTGGTCACAGCAGGGTACGAGGCCACCTGGGTTCTGGTCTTGACTTGGGTGCATTTATCAGTCCCCAGCCTTTTGACAAGTGCGTTGAGAGCCAAAGCTACACGGCAGGGGCCTTGGAGAGAGCGCCAGCTCCCTGCCCCTGTGAGCAAACCCTGGCCCCTGCAGTGTGCCCAGGACCAAGGTGCGGCGCCGCGTCGGGGAGCCCCCGACCCTGCACCCCTGTCTGCAGCCGGATGTGAGACTCAGCCAAGCTGCAGAACAGAAGGTTGATTTGCTTCCCAGAGATACAGGGCAGCGCAGGCTCGACACTGACACAGGAGCCAGGGCAGAGCCTCGTCCTCTCGGGGCAAAGGGGTTCACAGGCCCTGGATTTAGTCTGCTTCCTTCATGCTTCCCTCGGCCAAGCCTGCCCAAAGCACCCTTTGCTTTGTTTCAGGTTCCACTACCTAGCCCAGGTGTCAGGGTGCTGGGGGATGGGGACACCCACGCAGAGCGTGTACAGCACACCCCACTACTCACACCAGCGCAGTGCCTGGGCTCTGGGGCCAGCTGGCTAGGGTGGAAACATCTGCCCAGCTGCAATGACGGATTATTGGAGAGACCCATCCCCAGGCGGAGGAACCCAGCTGCTCCCCGGAGCCGTGTCACCCTCCCATGAGCAGCGTGGGCTGGGGCCTGGCCCAGAAGGGGGAGGAAGATTAGAGAACCGTGCAGCACCAGCCTGGGCAGAGAGGAGCCCCTGCAGCTCTGCATAGGGCCATGCGGGGCTGGGCCTGGCATCCCCCTTTGGCCGGGCTGCATCCTCGCAGGTCCCTGGGGGGGGGGGGGGGACGACACCGGCACCAGCCTGGGCAGAGAGGAGCCCCTGCAGCTCTGCATAGGGCCATGCGGGGCTGGGCCTGGCATCCCCCTTTGGCCGGGCTGCATCCTCGCAGGTCCCTGGGGGGGGGGGGGGGACGACACTGCTGGTACTGCAGGAGCTGATTCATTGCCCAAAGACCATGCCT